GTGCACCCTGGACAACGTATTTTCTTACGGCAAAAAAGTCGATCACTCGGCATTTCGACTTCTATTTATTGCGATTAGCTTGAAAAAAAGGCTATAAGAAAAATCACCCTCGTCAGGGCGAATCACAACGCCTTCAGATCCTCCAGTGGATTGCTGGAGGAATGTCATCGGACAAGAAGACCCAAGTCCAGAAAATCCTACAAACCTATGATGTAGACATTTTCACAATTATGGAAGCAAACATATCGGATGACAAACTGAAGTACTACCAATTCCCAGGTTACACCCTGCACCTTCTACCTAAATACCGGCAAATTGCAAGTGGGATTCTAACTGAAGTAAAAGAAGGCCGTACCTCACACTACGATCTAATCAAGAGTATGGGCTCGACACAAGACAAATGTGAAATTGCCATTTGAAATAAATATCTTGGTTCACATATACGGATATCTGGCCTCTTCTCTCTCACTAGTCTTAAAGACTAAACTCAAGGTTTGGAATAAATATGAACCAATAAAGGTTCCAACAGCAACTGGTGCTTTATTTCATGACATAAATTCATCTTTTGGGTCTTAGAGTGCAGATATGTAAAAACTGGGCCTAATTACTATAGGAAATGTGGTGTTTAATATCGTTCTCAAAAAACCTAAAGATATCTCTTTGTTCAACTGTCCTTCAGGTGGCTTAGTAAAGTATTTTTTGAATTCTTTTGACTCCCTGGGTTTATTATCAGTGTCCTACAATTAATTGAAATTTACTTATCATTATCTTCCTCGAAGTAGCTCGGATTGTTTTATACTTTCATTATGGCACAGAAACCATATATCAATGTTCATAAATCAAGCTATTATCATTGCCATTCGCCCAATTGTAAGCGCGTTTTCCTTTTAACTTTTTTTAAAGTTACCTTTCTTTCTTAAAAATAAAATTAGTAGAATACAGCCAACGATTTTCTGGAGTTTGATTCGCAGCCTAAATGGTATTTTCTTCTCTATTTATACATAAGTGGCTCCTTTTTTTCAAAAGAGATCAATGTTATCTCAATTGATAAAGATGGCTCATAAATGAGAGTTATGGCATAATTTACGAGACTTTAGAACTTACAGGACGAAATCCAGAAGTTTAGGCATGTTTCATTTTTCATAAACATGATATGATTCAGTTAGTTTGACACGATTTCTTAAGAAAAAACAATTAAGTTTTCATTATTTTTCAAAGATTTCTTTAAATTTTACCATAGGAGGTAAAGTAAAAGAGCTTGAAGCAGTGAAATTGGCGATTGAATTGGATGGGAAACTGGTTCAGCCATCTAATCTCCCAGTATGACAAAGAAGAGCGGATATGTGTGTGCATGTCTTTGTTTCTGAGACAACTTTATTTCCAAATGCAAAGACAGTCTTACTGAGGTTAAGGAACGGATCGATTGTGAAAACATAGATTGAAATAAAATTAATGATTGACTCCAAAGTAAGCACCTATTCCGCCTCCTATGCCACGCCAGGGTTGGAATTTTCGTAGCCCCTTTTAAGCGTTTATATGGAATGTGCATGGAATTGCAGGTTAATAAGTTAAGCATTTGCCAATACAGTTTATTCTGGAAAGATTAGACAAGAAAGTCAAGGATGATCTTTTAAATTTATTTAACTGAAAGGGGATAATTCTTTAACAGGGCGAAACACAAAGGTGTCCTTCCAAAAAGTGCGTGATTTAAGTTAAATGGTAATAGCAAGTCCTCTACATCCACAAAATCCCGCTACTTCCGGGTATCACCTTTTCTGGTCCGTGAATCCTATTTTGATCGAATATGAATTTGATCGAAGTTGATGACCACTTGAGTGAGTATTTTACTTTAGAAACAGCAGGTTTTTATCCTTAAAGGGTTGTCTTAAAACTACTGGAATAATGAAAAAGCCACAATTGATGGGGGAAGGGGGTTATAAATAACTAATAAATAAATAGCATTTTCAAATCTGTTCTAAATGTGCTCTTTCCCTTCAGACTCTCAGCTCCCCCCCATCGCACCCCTTAATGATAAGATTCCAATTTTAAATGAATTTTTCTTCATTATCGGGTACAACTTTAGCCACCAAGAACAGCATGCTCCCTCCAAAGATGGGCTTTGACTTAAATGTCTACACTTTTCATGACAACTTCACATTAAAAACAGCATTATTTCTTCTCTGAACCATAAATAATGAGTGCCATAGATTAGTCAGAGAAATTATTAGGAGAAAATCTACTTTCAGACATAACTAGTGCCAAGCATAAACTGATGGACGAAATAGATTCACAAAATATTTGTATATTTTTGGACAGTTTAAACATTTGGGCATCATTCACATTATGAGTCACTGGAAGATTATGACTGAAAAGTGCCCTACTATAAACATACAACGTTGAAAAGTTCAAGAGCATGTCAAGCTGTCTACACGCCATCGAAGTTTCGATTTAAATGTTAAATTTTAAAAAAACGAGGACGGCTCTTAACAAGCTCAGATTTATTTCAAAACTAAGCACTAACTGAGCATATATATATATTTATTGGAAACCTATGCGGCTTTAAATATTTATATCAAACGGTAGGCATTTTAATAGTTATCATTAGCCCCTCACTTGACATCAGGCTTCACAGATGGGAAGGAACAGCAAAGTAAAAAATAATCAAAAGTTGGGGACAGAAGATTGTTTCAAAGATGTAGAAGAGACAGACACAAAGGTAGAAAAAGGTGAGGTGAGTACTGTGGGAGAAATCAAAAATGATATACAATGGGATCATGGTAGTTTAAAGTCAGAAGTCAGCTGTCGGTTAATAGACATTTTTGCCGTGTGAGTATGCGTTGCCCAGAGCGCACGACGTGGAAGTAAGTCTATCGCACACCCCACGGCTTTAAATATGTTAGTTTAATCTAAATTTCAAATAAAACCTCGAGTTGTGGGGTATTATCCCTTCTTTGATATTTTACTTTCATAAATTCGGCGTATTGAAATTGCAAATATATATACAAAAAGAAGGAATTTGCACCCATTTGTGGGATTTTAGAAGTGAGATTTGTGCATAAGCGATTCATTTATTATTAAAATGGAGCACATTTATATATCTGATTATGGAGAATCAGTTGTACAACTCCGGAAACCGGGGTTCAAAATGGAAAATTCAGGAAAAAAGAGAGGACATATTCTCTTCTCTGTATTTGAAGTCTACCTTCCCAAACTACATGGAAAAATATGGAGGAAAGTGAATCTTATCTTCCCGCTGATACAACTATCGCCACAGACTTAAGTTATTTAGGGGAAATTTAGAACCCCTTGCCTATCCTAAACAGCTGCAAAATCAATCTATTATACTTTAAGCCGGTCATTTCCCTTTATCAGTTATAGTAAAAATCGATAAATGAGTCACTTCACCCAAAAAAATAAACAAAGTCTTTAATATATTAGATAAAACGATAAATTTTGCAGTGCTTGATATGAAAGGTAAACTGGTCATATCGAAGCCTTTGAGAGCCTTTTTGCAGAACGGTTCATAATGAATTTTCAGGAGCCGTTAGAAGCTATTTGAACAGCACGTAAGCGCTTAATGAACGGAAGTTATGCCACAACCCTCAGTACTTCTACTGCTAATCGGATTTGAACAGAAGAGTTGATCGCCACCAACATTGGATGGTTGGCAATGGGTACTGGTCCCTCCACCGGCGACCTGGCAGACATGCGCGCTGACCGCTGTACCAGGGGAGCTACGACTAATTTTCGCAACCATGGTAATGCAAAAAAAATCGTACACTTTCAATCAGAGGCCAGCATTCAGGAGACAAATAAGTGAATATGTAACTTCCGTGCTAATTTTAGCTTAAATTGCGTTAGCTGACCTCCAATATTTAATAATATTAATAGTATTCATTGGTATCCTTTTATAAACACAAGCATAATAAATGGAAGTCAAATGCCGAGTAATAGACTTTTTTGCCGTATGAATATACGTTGTCCAGGGTGCACCACGTGGAGGTAGGTCTGTCGCGCACCCCAAGATATCATCTAGGACTCAGCCGGTCGATGTATTTCCACGCAATGAAGACCTTAGTCAGGAGAGAATTCAAGACCTCAAGATGCAACGAACTTAAAGCTCGAACAAAGGAGAAACAGTGGACAGTAGCACTCTCCGATATAGCCGACTGGCCAAGAATCAAAGCCGTTTCTGAGTTTAGACTACGTACCAGATACGATTGCCTGGCAAAACACCTTCACAGATTGGGAGTATACACTCAACCCACATGCCCCCTATGTAACCTACAAGAGGAAATCACCATCAAAACACCTTCACAGATTGAGAGTATACACTCAACCCACATACTCTATGTAACCTACAGGAGGAAATGGAGAAGTCCCACCTGTCTATGTGACCTACAGGAGGAAACGGAGAAGACCCACCATATGTAACCTACATGAGGAAATGGAGAAGACCCATCTGATCTGTAACCTACAGGAGGAAATGGAGAAGACCCACCTGATGTGAAACCTACAGGAGGAAATGGAGAAGACCCATCTGATTCTCTACAGGAGAAAATGGAGAAGACCCACCTGATTCGGTGTTCAAAGGAGGAAATGGAGAAGACCCACCTGATTCGGTGTCTAGCGGAGGAAATGGTGATGACCCACCTGATTCGGTGTCCAGCTCTAAAGACAACGCAGACCCACCTGATTCGGTGTCCAGCTCTAAAGACAAGGACATGGAGTCTGATTGTGAAACCTACAGGAGGAAATGGAGAAGACCCATCTGATTCTTAATCTAAGAGAGTATACACTCAACCCACATGCCCTCTGTGTAACCTACATCAAAACACCTTCACAGATTGAGAGTATACACTCAACCCACATATACTCTATGTAACCTACAGGAGGAAATGGAGAAGTCCCACCTGTCTATGTGACCTACAGGAGGAAACGGAGAAGACCCACCCCTGTGAAACCTACAGGAGGAAATGGAGAAGACCCATCTGATTCTCTACAGGAGAAAATGGAGAAGACCCACCTGATTCGGTGTTCAAAGGAGGAAATGGAGAAGACCCACCTGATTCGGTGTCTAGCAGAGGAAATGGAGAAGACCCACTTGATTCGCTGTTCAGCCCTAAAGACAACGACGAAAACCCAGAGGTACTGAGGAGCAAGAAGACAGCTAATGAACTGCTATTAATTAACTGCTATATATATACCCCCCCCCCTATGGGGAAAGCTGAAGTCAAAGTTTATATACCCCCCCCCCTATGGGGAAAGCTGAAGTCAAAGTTTAAGGGCTAATGATAAATGTCATAAAGCCTGCCATTTGAAATAATAATAATAATAAGCACAAGCATCTGAAAGAGACCAGCTAATACATTTTCAGGTTTTCCAACGAATTAGAATATTCAACTGTTTCCCCAGTCACTTGTAAGCATTAAGACATCCTTAAAGCCACCTCTTATTGCTGGCCAAACTTTTGCTGTGGAATTACGCAGAACTGCCTGCTGAGTAGTGATCATCACTTGTTAAAAATGCGGGCTAAATTTCAAGCACACATATTGTTATTTGTTTATTTATATCACGTAAACTATACCACAATATAATTTATCATCGTGTTTTATGGCACCTTGTGTCAGCAGCAACAGCAGAGACTAAACGGGGAGTAGATGGCGATGTGGTGCGTTTATTGCTCTAGCAACTGTTCCATCACCCAATCCGTTAACTGATCTTTGTATCCTCTCAACGGTAAAGGGACCCCAATATTCGCAAAAAAAAACAATAATTCATCCTTTTATGTTTTATTCATTTCAAGTAGGTTTGAATGACGAATTACTTATGCTTTTAATCATGGCAAAATAAATTTGAAATTTGCATTTGCTCTATCAACGTAATCCGATCAGAGCATATAGTGTCTCAAATGGGAAGGATTTAATCAGAAATCGGATTGCCTCCCGCCCTCCCAT